AGGGAGGAGGGAGGGAGGGAGGGGAAGAGAAAAGAAAAAAATAAGGGTTACTTGAAAACAGTCCTGAGATACCACAACAGTCCATCTGATAACCAAGACAATTACTAATGGGCAGGTTGCATAGATAGCGTGGATCTGCTGGACAAAGAGAGTGGGACAGCACAAGATTTTACCGCACTACTCAGAACAGGGCACAATTTAAAACTTATGAATTGTTTATTTCTGGAATTTTCCATTTAATATTTTCAGACTGTGGTAACTGAAACCATAGAAAGCAAAACTGGATAAGAGGGAAGGGGCACCTTACACGGCAAAGGGGACTTTGCAGATGTGATTAAAGGTATGGACTTTGAGATAAGGAGATTGTCCTGGATGATGTGGGTGAGCTTAATCTAATCATATGAGTCCTTAAAATCGGAGAAACTTTCCTGGCTGGATTAGAAAGAGATGTGATGATGGAAGGCCAGAGAGGCGTGAACTGAGAAGGACTCAGCCTGCCACTGCTGGCTCTGCAGATGGAGGACGGGCTCCTGAGCTGAGGGATGCAGGTGGCCTCTAGAGGCTGGAAAAGGAAAGGAAAGGGATTCTTCCCTAGAAACTCCCTCAAGGAACCTTCCTGCCAACACCTTGATTTTAGCCCAGTGAGACCAAATTGAACTTCTGACCTACAGAGAATAAATTTGGATTGCTTTCAACCACTAAATTGTTCTAATTTTTTACAGCATCAATAGAAAACAAATATGCTATGCAAATAACAAAGAAAATGGCTGGCTGGTTAGCTCAGTTGGTTAGAGCGTGGTGCTGATAACACCAAGGTACAGTGTTCATTTTTGGCCAGCCACCAAAACAAACAAAACACAAAGAAAATAAAACAATAAAATTAAATTGTTTGTTTGGTTTTTTGGCAGCTGGCAGGTAAGGGGATCTGAACCCTTGACCTCGGTGTTATAACACCACCCTCTAACCAACTGAGCTAACTGGCCAGCCAACAAAATTAAATTCTTTTTTTTTTTTTTTTTAGGATCCAA